TGATTGTCCCTGGCCGCTTCTGTGCCTCTTATTTCTTGCTCTTCCATGGCTAGATGTGTTTGGCCATTTTTTCCCTGTCGTCCGATCAGGATCAAGTTCAAAGTCGCTATCATCCATAGGAACCGCACCGGGATTGGAATAACTGGATGTCTCCACCGATTGGGATGTAGATGTGTACGCATATCTTCCAGTGGCAGTTTGCTTCTCAAATATTATTTCATAAAGCTCCTTGTGAGTAAGTCCCTTGTGGTAAAATTATTGCGCCAGTGAGTTTTGTTGGTAAGTTAAAAGAATAATATATTAATATTTAGTAGTTCGAAAAAATGCATACATTTACGATGTCGTTGAATAATATTAGTTAAAAAATATGAAAATTTACCTTGATATATTCTTGCCAAACCTCAACGGGACACGTTGGACTTTGTGACTCCTGATCCCACCCGAACCCCGTGTGTTGCAACAATTTCTGCCATGCTTGATAAACTTTTCGCAGGCGAAAGAACTTAGAGGTTAATTGTGTGATGTTGAGTCTCCTGCCAGCCAATGATGATATGTCTTCCAACGTTTCCTGGTAATCAGCTGTTTTTATTGCAGTACCATGTGAAGTTTTGGCCCGCTCAGATAACAGGACCAGAAATTTGTGGGTCATCTCAGCAGACCAGGCCACAAAATCACTTATCTAAGGACAGTACAGTGAGGGACAACCAACATTGGGGCACCATACGAATCACCAAGCACATTACACAATATAATACTCACATGTTAACGTAATCAACTAAACACATATAAACTTATACCTCGTTCGATCCGACACTGCTTGAAGACGTCAATGCAGGAAGATACAGACAATGTCGACCAACAGGGTGTATGACGAACTCCAAGTCTAGAAAAACGTCAAAACTTTCACCTCTGCTGCAAGTAATAATCAATCCTACGACGTCGAGACAAATTATGCTGACATCTATGCATATGAGCGTAATTTCTGGTTACGATTAAAGAACGATGTCGAATCTACAGAACAAATATATCAATTAGTGAAATCCAAATAAAATATTTGAGTCAACCAATTACAAAACGCATTATTAAAGTCGCTCATTAAAAGGATTAATGAAAAGAAAAAAACAGTATTAACACAAATTATTTCCAATAAAAAAAAATGAAAAAAATAGCGTCTCGGTGTCTTGAAAACAAATAGGAAACAGAAACTTACAAACTGGATTTGGATACTTCGCAGGTCTCTTTCCCTTCTCTGAGACAGATAAACATCAAACATAATTAAAGGGATCCATGTGTGTACACGAGATTAAAAACCTGCCAAACAAAACAAAAAACTTATTAAAACAATTCATTCATGTGCCAAACAAAACAAAAACGCATTCAAAAGGATTCATGCCTGTGCCAAATAAAAAATAAATTATTAAACAAAAAAACAATTAATTTCTATGCCAAAAAAAAAAAAGCGCATTAGGATTCATGCCTGTGCCAAATAAAACAAAAACGTATTAAACCAAAAAAAAATCATTCCCGTGCCAAACAAAAATGCATTCACAATCCATGCATGTGCAATTGCCAAATAAAACAAAAACCCATTCACAATCCATTCGTGCCAAACAAATAAAAAACGCAAAACAACATCCCTTTGTACACAGATCTGAGGTGGGTTTGTGACAGATTGGGGTGTGGGTTTGTGACAGATCGGGTCACGGTCACGTTGGGTTTGTGTGTGATCAGGGTGGGTTGGTTTGCAACAGATCGGGTCACGGTCACTGTGGGTTTGTGTGTGATCGGGGTGTGGGTTTGCGATAGATCGGGTCACGGTCACGGTGGGTTTGTGTGTGATCGGGGTGTGGGTTTGTGACAGATCGGGTCACGGTCACGGTGGGTTTGTGTGTGATCGGGGTGTGGGTTTGCGACAGATCGGGTCACTGTCACGGTGGGTTTGTGTGTGATTGGGGTGTGGGTTTGTGACAGATCGGGTTACGATGGGTTGGTTTGCGACAGATCAGGTAACGGTGGGTTTGTGTGTGACAGATCGGGTCACGATGGGTTTGTGTGTGACAGATCGGGTCACGGTGGGTTTGTGTGTCACAGATCTATTTTCGGGTTCACGGTTGAGGATCTGAGGTGGGTTCACGATGGGTTTGTGACAGAGGGATTTGTGGATTCACGGTGGTGGGTTGACGGTGGGTTCACGTTGGGTTAGGATGTGGGTTTGTGACAGAGGGATTTACGGGTTCACGGTGAGAAGTGAAGCACTGAAGCTGGTACTGGATACTAGAAAGTGAAATGGTGGTAATTGTAATGACTGCTTTATACTAGAGTACTCATAGAAATATATCAAGTAGGATAATGTATATTAGCAAAAGTAAATGGACCCAAATTTTCTTTTATTACATATAAACATTCTTTATACAAAATAACTTTATCATTTACAAAATGCCATTAAAACAGTGGACAGTGTAGCTATTGCTCCTCGTTTGCCAATGCCCATCCAACCGCGTTATCACCTAGATCATGTATCCACAAAGAAAACAATAGGGTGAGCACAAAATAATGCTCAGTAAGTAAATCCTCTACTTGATTGTCCCCGTAATTCTTTCTCTTAATTCTTTCCTTACACTTTTTTCTAATCTCATTTATTTTCTCTTTCCCACAGCTCTCTTATCTGCTATATGTCACGGCCTCATCTTACCGGAGGCACGGCAGGGTGGAGTTCACACAGCACCAACCCACTCTTCGTGACTTTCGGGTGGAGATCACAAAGCACCAACCTGCTTTTCGTAACTGTTTGGTGGAGATCATAAAGCACCAACCCATTTCTCATCACTATCGGATGGAGATCACAAAGCACCGACCCATGTTTAGTATTTTTCTCATTCTCTCTACTCTTAGAGTAGAGTAGTGCATACACATAGTTTCCTACTCTTTCTCAAGCCACTTCTCAATGCACAATTAATTTTCTCCACTAATGCACTCATGAAATGCCAACATGCAATATTGCAAGAATTAAAGTTACTACTCATGATTTTCTTAGGCATTTCATCAAACAACTAATGTGCAAACATAAACTCTACTTTATCTATGGTTCTATCCCTTTCTTGAACCATCCAAAATGGGAGAAAACTCCCTCACAAAATTATAATCCCTGTCATAAAATAACACTTCCAAATAGATTTATCAATCTCCTCCAATTTCATCTCAACTACATCCTCTCATTACTACATATTCATCACATATTAACACTTCTCATCAATGAAGTGTAATCAACAACCATAAAACAAATACTCATCTCAACCCAATTTCTCAATAGCTTAACATATGCATGCATATATAAATCTCTACTTAATCTTTACTCAGAAGATTTCTCAATTTCAACTTGGGATGGATTTACTTCCCTTGCAATGGAGAGATCACACTTGCACTTTCCTTTCCTTTAAATGCTTGTCTCTTCTCTACAACTTTGCACAATAAAACCATAAGCCTTCAATGTACAAATATATGCAAAATTTAACATCTAAAGCAAGAATCCTTACCTTAGGATGCCTTAGATTGATTTTCTACCAAGATCCAACTAAAAACCCCTCAAAAATCCTTGAAAGATTGAAAGAAGAGTTGAGAGGAAATGGAGAACGGAAGAGGCGGTGGAAGAAGAATGAATGAAGGGTTTGTGAAACTTCAACCCTTTTTAGCTCAAAATATATTCATTCATTCCCATATTGCCCTTGCTCTTTCTTCAAAATGTCATCTTTATCCTTTCAATCCTTACAATCACACCCCCACTCTAACATATTTTCTATAAAATTCTCTTACATTTTACTCCCCACTTTTCCTGCTAACTAAGGGTAGAAAGCTCATTTTGCCCCTATGGAAAGAATTCTCTAGAAACTCACTACACGTTTTATTCGGCTCTTCGCCGCGGCGAAGACTCTTTCGTCGCCCCGATGAAAAATTACAGAACCTACCTCTTTGGTTGCAGAACCTCGTCGCCACGGCAAAGATTATTCTTCACCCTGGCGAAGTCTGTAACACCAAGATTTCGCCAAGTCTTTACAATTTCAGGGCAACCACTCAACCAAACCAATACATCCATTCCACCAAGGGCTAACCAAACAATATTAACAATATACCATCTCAAATAAGAGCAAAACAATAAACATTCACACATACAACATAATTTACTACGTACCTCAAGTGGGGTGTTACAGTAATGCAAACTGGGAAGTGAAGCACTAAACCTAGTAATGGATTATCAGAAACTGAAATGGTGGTGATGGATACTAAGAAAGTGAAGCATTGAAAACGGTAATGCAAACTGAGAAGTGAAGCACGAAGCTGGTAATGGATACTGAGAAAGTGAAATGGTGAAGCAGTGAAGAAAAGTGAAAAAGCAAACTATAATGGTCAAAAAAAAATTTTGTCAGGATTGAATTATCAGGACAGTATTGTGTAAATAATAAAACAAACATTATCTATAGAATCCGGTCCAGAATATGAATAAAAATATTTAGCCAAACGCAGCCTAAATTATTGTATTTAGATATTCTAAATTTTCATATTTAAGCTGTAACACATTTAATTTCTATTATAATTTCAATATATGTATATGTATATATATATATATATTTTTTTGTTATTTTACATGTTGCAAGTACAATATTCTTAAAAAAAAAAAAAACATATTCCGAATTACAAAAAGCACGCAGAGTACTCGCGGTTTGAGCGCAGGTACGTAATTGGCATTTGGCACGCCATTAGTCCTAAAGTTGAAGGTCAATATCGTAAAAGAATCCTAGCATCTTCAACTCCACGTGTCTTCTCGCAAATCGTTTCTGAGATCAGCTATTCACGAGATTCTGGTCCCCGCCCCATCATACTCACGATTCGTAAAAGAGTCGAGACTCCCATAACTCGTACTGACTCACCAGTCACCTCACTTCAACCTCTGCTCTATCTTCTCTCCACCACTGGGCCAATCCTCTAACTCGACTCTCTCCTTTTATGGAACAAACTCAACCACTTACTTGCTCCAGCCTTCATCGCCGGGGTTGATTATGTTGAAATCTTGAAACCTTACTCTGTTGACTTCAACTTTCCACGATTTGGATGGCTAACCGCAATTGGATTGCTCTTTTTCTTACACTTTCTTGTTTGCTTCCTTCTCTTCACGCTAGTGCCGGTGATGCTGATCCGATTTACAAGTAAAGTTTTTCAACTCGCTTAGTTGCTTGTTGTTCCTTTTTTTTTTTTTTTTCCCTCGATATATTCAATTTTGCAGAAAAATTACTTTGCTTGTTTAGTTTTGTTATGAAGAGCTTGGAATATTATATTTATTGCTATTGTTTAGAATAATTTTAGATTCTTATTTTATTATAATGACTGTGGTCAGTATAGTTGAAGACTCTGGTTCTTTGCTAGAGATTCTAACGTAATTTGAGATATCTTGAAAATATTGAAAAATTTTGTGATAAGAATCTTCGGTTTTTAAGATTTTGTGAGATTAAGGATGGATTTTGGAGCGGTTTTGTTATTGTAGAAAATTTATCAAATAGTCAAATTTGCTTTTGTGCGCTATTAGTTGTGTTAGGTTGAAAGAGACAAAGGAAAAATGAATAAAAAAAAATATTTCAGTTTTTTGAAATAAGTATTGGATAGGTCTTTTATTGAATCTAAAGACTTTCTAGCGAGCAATTGGTTTTTTTTTTTTTTTTTTTTTTTTTTTTTTTTCTTTCCAGAAAGCAGTTTCGGTGCTTTTATAGAGATCTCCTTTACTTTAAACCGCTGTATACAAGAACATTCCCAAACACATCTTAACTCAGTGTGCATTAAGTTTAATAACTAAAGCATGTCTATGGAGTTTTTGGGTTGAATTTTTGAAAGTCAGTATAACCATTTTAGATTTGGCATTCTATGGGATCTGTCTATAATTCTTCTTGTTAATTGAGAAGTGTTTTTTCCAATGAAAATGGATTAATTTTTTCTGAAGTTTTATTTTAGCAATTAGTTTATGGAATTGAGTTGTTGTCTTCACTCTCATGGCAGTTTCACTTATTGTTAACAACAAAGTATGCTTAAAGAAGTTTGGGTCTAAAACCTAGGAAGGAATCTCCCTTTTGACAAATACTTGAAATGTGTTAACATTTATTTGGCGCATAATACTACACATTCAACATTTTTATACAACATTTCTCATACAACTTGATGTGGCAAAGTATGATTGACTGATTTTAAATTAAAAATGAACTTTCACCCAATAATCTTTTGTCACATTAGGTTGTATGAGAAATGTTATATAAAAATGTTGTATGTGTAGAATTACTCTTATTTGGCTAGATGATAGCATGCTTTCCCTTTTTCCTGTCAATTTTCTCAAGTATTCGTTGTGCTATCTCTGCTTGTGTGTTTTTATGTTGATTTTTAAAGTCTGTTTTATAATAGTGAGAATTTTTTTGGTGGTATCAACTGTAGTGTTTGACAAAATCTTTATTGGAGTAAGATGGTAGTCCTTGAAGCTAGGTATGAGTTTTCCTAAGCAGTAAAATGTGGCTGCACAATAACTTTTTGAGATATCTTGAAGTAATGGCTGGAGGATTAACTAAACCTGAGATTTATGTTATTCACAAAATACTCCATCTATCTATGTTGTTTCATAATTTGATTGGACTTCCAGAAAATATTAATTGTTTCTGCATACTTTCCTGGGTGTTTAATATGATTATGATCATGCCTGTTGAACTATTATCCTTATCATAATTGTCATTTATTTTCCAGGGCTTGTGTGGAGCAATGTGAGAAAACTGGATGTGTAGGGGATAAATGCTTCCAACACTGTAACTTCTCATCTGATGGGAAACCTATGGGTGGACCATGGTATCTTCAAGAACCACTCTATATCAGGTGGAAACAATGGGACTGCAGCAGTGACTGTCGATATCAATGTATGCTCGCTAGGGAAGAGGAGAGGGAAAAAGTTGGTGACAAGCCTGTCAAGTATCATGGGAAATGGCCATTCCGTCGTGTTTATGGCATCCAGGTTGTTACATATTATATGCTGGAACACTAATTTACCGTTGATGTAATTAAAGTAATTAGGCTAATTTCACTTGAATGATCTGCCAATCTAAATGTTCTTTTTTAATGTTTTCAGGAACCTGTTTCTGTTGCTCTCTCTGCACTCAATCTTTCCATACAATTTCATGGTTGGTTGTCCTTTTTTATCCTTCTAAACTACAAGTTGCCTTTGAGGCCAGATAAGAAGACCTATTACGAATATACTGGTTTGTGGCATATCTATGGAATACTAGCAATGAACTCTTGGTTCTGGAGTGCTGTTTTCCATAGTCGGTAAGTAGTCATCTCTTGTTTGTACCTTTATACCTGCAACATAACATGTAAATCCTTCTTCCCAATGTGACCACTTGCTTCAACAATCTATGAATTCTTTTCGTACAAGTAGACCTTAATTCTTTCAATTCTATATTCAGATGCTGTTTGGAATTGGTTTTGATTCATTCCACAACACATTATTTTCTTTTTGGTGCTGTATGGGGGCAATTTTTGGGAATCAGGGAAAAAAAAGTATTGCAGAATATGCAATTTATTATAAACTGTACAAAATTTGACTGCAATGATAGTTTAATGCAGACTTGCAATACTGTACCCAGAGGAAAACAAGCTAGTTCCACTATGTTTCTCTTAAATCTTTTGATGTCAAATAATAATCAGATTGTTTGTTTATTTGTGCTATTATTTTCATTTTCTTGGTACTATATTGATGATATTTTGCTTCCAACTGATATGGTGCTTTATCTAAATTGATTGTAGAGATGTTGAGTTGACAGAGAAGCTAGACTGTTCATCTGCTGTTGCATTACTTGGGTTTACTTTTATTCTAGCAATACTGAGAGCTTTCAACGTGAGAGATGAGGCTGCCAGGGTGATGGTTGCTGCACCACTGATTGCATTTGTGACAACTCACATCTTGTACCTGAATTTCTTTAAACTTGATTATGGTAATTCATTTCTCTGTTGACCTTCACTTGTGACGTACCATTCATATCACCATATAAGGCTGTTAGTATTTCAACATAATGCACCTTCTTGGACCTGGAACACTATCTATTACATGTCGACATTAATATCCATATGACAATAGCATTGGTTCTCTTCTGCTTGGTTTAAAATTTCTATCAAAATAGCCTTTTCTTTACTATTTGGAGTCAGCCAGCATACTTTCTTTTGCTATCTGTCTGATCTACTCTTGTGAGAACTTTTACTTTCATGATAAACATGATTTTTGTCCTTTCTGTTGTATTTATATTCAACTTTAGCATTTGCTTCATATCTTGGAGTTATTGATTCCACTACACCAAACTTGACTGCCTTATTTCAGTTTCATATTTTCCCATAGCATTTACATTTGATTCTTTTATTGTATCACCATTAATTTATTTCTAGTTTCATTTTAAGTTTAGTATGATATTAAGGGATATGAGAACATGTAAATACATGTTAAGATTTTGTTAATATCACCCTTGAAAGCATAATCTGAAAGATTGTTGTATTTAAAGCATACATCAAAGATAGAGAACGAACTTGTGACAATTTATAAATTTGCTCAATGCTTTTTAACTAATGGTTTTTGCCCCATTCAAAACCATTTTTTGCAGGACTGAACATGAAAGTGTGTGTGACCATGGGTGTAGCTCAACTTCTCATATGGGCAGTATGGGCTGGAGTCACTCGTCATCCAGCACGCTGGAAACTGTGGGTGGTTGTTGTTGGAGGAGGTCTAGCCTTGCTCCTGGAGATATATGACTTCCCACCTTACTGGGGTTTTGTAGATGCTCATGCTTTATATCATGCCACTAGCATCCCTCTTACATACCTGTGGTGGAGCTTTATCAGGGACGATGCTGAGTTCAGAACATCATCTCTCTTCAAAAAAGTGAAGTAAGATTTTCTTTACCGAAGATTTTCTTTACCGACACCTGCACTTATCAGATGGTAGATTTGTATCAAAATCCATTGACATGCCCATCCGTCTCTTTGGCATCAGCTTGTATTCTTTGTCACCTGATGTAACTTTTTTTTCTGGACTGCTTACAATAGCAGGTCCTGTTGTTTCAAAATTTTTGTTTTTGATGTTTGCATCATTTCCATGGAGTATATGGGATATGTTATTGTAACGGCATTCGAATTATTAGATCATCGTGTTTGCTATTCCCCTAAAGATAAGAAGTTAGGTTGGTAGGTGGAAGACTCTCAAAACTAAGGTATCTTAATTTTGTTGTAAATGCTGGTTTATGTCGTTTATCTTATTATCGGTAATGGGATGATATATTACTTTTATATACAGTAAATATCTCTATAGTCAGCGAATTATACTGTTTTATGCAATTAACTTTGAAACACCGCTTCTCTTGGTAGCGAGAAGAGATGATAGGTAACTTCCTTTTTATGGTTGCATTGCAAACTCTAGTCTACAACGGGTAAATGGATTGTCTTATTGGGCTTAGTGGGCCTGACTATGGATTTATTTCCAGAAATTGTATATAGCCTCGAACTTTCTTTAAATAGCATATTTTTTTTTTTTTTTTTTTTTTGTTGTTGTTTAACAAGTTTAACCTTAATTAAATTTATTATAAGGGATAATATTGGTTCTAAATACATTTGTTCTTCCTAGTTTTCATATTTAATAATCATAAATATGGACTTATTAGTTATTATATACAGTAAAACTTTTCTATAGTCATAATGATAGGATCAAACTAATTTATAACTATAACGAGATTATACTTAATAGCGGCGTAGTTAAAAAAAATTATTGTTTTGATTTCTTATTTTATATTTTGCGTTTTAGTAGTATGTATTAGGATTTCAATTCATTATTTTAGTTGTTATTATTGTAATTATACAAGGAGAGAAAGGAAATAATCATGAGGATGATAGTATAGAAATATAAAAAGTTTTGAACATACTTGAGAAACTAGAAATATTTTGACTTCAACAAAAAAGTGTATACTAACGAGTTATTATGTACCGGTAAATTAAAAGATGTGGTAACAATTCTAAAGTATATATCATTATCTCAAATAATTTAAGATAAATATTTTATTTCATCCTAAACCTTTAATATATCATAGCTTTTTTTTTTTTTTTTTTTTTACAATATACAGATAATTATTATTATGTGAAGACAACTTTCTTAAAACGGGAATAAAAAAAATTATAACTTATTACAATGTAGAGTTTATTCTTATTTATAATTATCCTAAATTAAAACTAGTATTTTTTATGACTATGTAAACGTTATTTTTTAATAAATATTACTATAGAGAGATTTTAACAGTAAACCTTTACCTTGTCTTTCTTTTTTTGTCAAATATAAAATTTATATTTTAAATTATGTAAATAGATTTTTTTAATGTGAGGATTTTCGAATTGAATTGAACCAGTCACATATCAAATCTTCTGTCGGTTTATGAAACAAGAAGTGGAAGTTAAATATCTTCTCCCTCCATACTTTTGGATTTGTGCTTGTAAGGTTTAGTTACGTTATGAATTCTCTTGTATTTGGGCCTAACCCAAAGCGCGTTGAACATAACTGATTAGCGTAACAAATTGGAACTTTATTTATATCTAGCGGTTAAGTGTCCAACCTTTCGGCCGTTGAACAAAGACGAATAGAAAAACCCAGGCAACGCAGATAGAACCCAGATACTCCATCCATAATGTGAAAAACCCTTCCAGTTGTTGTTTCATGTAGTGTGGTCCCCCCAGTTTAACTCAAATGGAGTTGCTTCCCATATTTTTAGTGCAGTAAGTGGTGGCTGAGTCCCCACCACACCAATAATGCATTGAATAGCTGCCCTTAATTTACCCCACTCAAGTCGTTTCAAGGCTTTTTACAATGACTTCATTGATTACATTTTTTGCTCAAAGCTATAAATAATACATTAAACAACCCAATACGAAAACGGTTGTTACAAACGCAGCTTTATTCTCTCTTTTTATTTTTTCTACTATGTACACTTTTTGGGCATTTTGCCCATAACTATAAGCAATTTATATATACATCAAACTCACTCCCTTGTACATACACCCATATATCTTCTCACAGTATAATTGCACCGTACTAGTCAAAAATTGTAAGTACGGAACCCAAAAAGCTAATACACTTTCCTATAGCAACAAAACACAATTCCATAATCTACTAGTCAGTAGTCACTCTCAGTACTCTTTAACTTATTATATATATTTATATATATATATATTTTTTTTTTTTTTTTCTTTGCTTAAGTGGGGAGTGAACTCCACAGTGACATATCGCCATTTCTTTCTGCTTCATCGCCATCTATTCCACATTGGGGAGGTGGCAATAACATCCCTTCAGCCATATTTGCAAGCAATCCCGGCATCCCAAAAACCTCTTCTTCATCCATGAAAAACACTTCATCTGACATTGTCTTCCGCTCTTCTTCCACCATTTTCTCACCGTCTTGCCTCGAACCTCCCTCTTCGTCTGCAGGCCGGAACGATTCCGCCGCTTCAGCTGCCGCCTTTTGAATATCCTTAGCATCATTTGAAGCCGGCACAGGTAGCCTCCAAGCAGAGTCTGCAAAATTCAAACAAGCCATTCGCCCTCTCAAAGCAATCGCCGCCACGTCATGCGCCCTCGCCGCCATCTCCGCAGTTGGAAAAGTTCCAAGCCAAATCCTAGACTTCTTGTTGGGCTCCCTAACTTCACAAACCCACTTCCCAGAATTCCTCCTTCGCACTCCTCGGTACACCGGGTGACGAGTCTCTCGAAACTTCTTACGACCCGCTCGCTTCTTCGGATAGCTGGCCGCCAATAAGACATCTTCATCAGACAAGTTTCCACGGCGAGTAACAGTACTGTTTCCGTCAGACACAGGAGAAGACGCAGCAGCCAAGTCAGGACATGGTGACCAAAAATCAGAAGCATAAGGGTATGGATCAGATAAACAAGAGAAAAACTCCATAGAAATCAAGAAGATAAGTTGTTGAAACTTGAAAGTGTGTAGAGTGTAGTGAAGAGTGTGAGTAAAATACTTTTTTTAGCAGAATCTGACAAAGAAGTATCCATGGATTGAAGATTTTATATGAAGGGTGGCTTTGTATTTGAGAAACGCGAACACGGAGTGTGATTAGGCAACAGCTGGAAGAGAGAAACAGAGTCCACGGATTTTACATAGTTTTTTTTTTTTTGTTTTGTTCGTTTGCTTAACCAATTATAATAATACCACGTAAGAAAGTGGGTCTGGATAAACTACCGGCTGTTTTTAAGACAAGTTTAGTTCTATGCTTCATTGATTGACACGTGGTCATTTGACCTTTTTGGAAGGTTTTGACTGATAAGTATTTCTAGTTCTTTCATCGAACCTGTTCGTGTCCAAGTCAAACGTCACTTTCAACTCCACTCCACTCATGGCTCTTATTTATCATACTTGCTTCCCCTTACGCCTTTGCTTCCTCCTCGCATAACACTCCCCTTTCCTTTTTTTTTTAATTTCAATTAAAATATGATTTTTTTTTCCTTTTTTTAAATCGAATATTATCTATTTTACTTAAATTAAATGAGTAATTTCAGTCAAGTCCAGATATTCTCAATAGGGTTGATGTGACCAGCGGCAGCAGCCGTGGAAGGAAAGAAGGAAGTTTCGGTGTGTGACGTGGCGCCAAAAGAAACAAAGGAGACCCTTTTCAAGATGACGTCACACGATTTTTAAAAAACACGGGTTGACAGTTAACTCCCAGCCCAACCGCCCTAGATCTAGGATTAGGGAGGCAAGGGTGGGGGTGGTTTTTCCCGCGGTTTCGCGTGGACCACGTGGCTTAAGTGGAAGGGCCCTTTTTAAAAAGGTTTTCTCTTTCTTTGTTTTACAGTTAATGGATCGACAGTTGGAAATAACCGAAGGAAGTTGGTCAGGAAAGCAAGGGCGTCAACATCATGAGAAGAGTACGGACTTATTAAAACTTAATTAACCTAAAACCGTGTTTGGAGACTCGAGACTTTTCTCTAGAGTTATCGACTTTTTCAAATCTAAATATCCATCTGGATTGCTAGAGTTTTTAAAAAGAAAAAGTCAACGAAGTCATTTATGATATAAGATGGTTGGAATTAATCAAAATTTGATTTGAAAGAGATGATTGTATAAACTTTATTTATTCAATTATCAATTTTTTATGAGTCAATAAGAGTAAAATTTAAACAATCTTAATGAGCAATAATTGAAGAAAAAAATAGCGATAATATACGATTGTAATGATATCAGAATCAAATACAAAATATAAATTTAAATAATAATATAATAATTTTAAAATTTATAGATTAAAAAGTATCATTATATCATTATTTGTTTTACTCATTTTTCTAATCAAATTTTTTTCTAGTATCCAAACAAACCACAAGTGGGAAGGTGGGTATTGGGTATTGGTAACGTTATAGTTTTTTAATATAAGTAATGAAAAATTCGGTAAGATACTGGTGGAGGTGACTGGTGACCACCTGAAGCTGAAAAAGATTTTCAGCCACATGCTTTAATTAGCTTTCAAATGGGACCATGACCCATGAGTATGACAGTATCACTTTATTTTATATGGTCCCTTTCTCTTTATTATATAATTTATAATTTGAAATTTGAGCTTAGACTTTTGCTTCCTCTTAGGCTTTTAGTCTTACATTATTCTGTGGAGACTTCGTCTTCAAATGTGTCACTGTTATTTCGCCTAGCAGATGCCAGGACAGCTTCTACAATGACTGGCCAACGCCAAGGAATTATTTCAATTATTGGACCTTTCCTTTACCATGGAAAATGTGCGTTTTTATATTTAATAAGATCGATCGACATATGATCCTTTAATAATTTGGTGTTTAATTATATAGTTAAGAAAATATTTATGAAGTACGAAATTAATTATATGGCGTTATTCCTTTGATACTAACAGTTAAAATAATGTTCATTACTCTTTTACACCAATTCAATTACACGTTCTCATATGAATTATACTACAGTAAGTTTCATAATTGATTGCAGATTACCTAACATTGTCCGATCAACATACGATCCTTCAATGATTTGGTATTAAATTATAAAATCAACAAAATATTTATGAAAGCATTAATGAAGTGCATGTACTAAACCTACAAATTAATTCTATGGCATCATTCAATCAATATAATAACAGTTAAATTTACATTTGAAATAATATTCACTACGTTTTTACACCAATTCAATAACACGTTTATATATCAATAAAACAAAAAGCTTTATAACATTAATGTAATACATATCTATCAAAAGAGACTTACAAAGTTAAAGAAGGATAACCATATATATATATATATGAAGGGCATTGAAAGGAGGTCAACAGTACTTAATTGTATTATGTACACCATGTGATTCTCTTATGTCACCCATGATGACCAATTTCCATTTTGAAATAAAAAACAAGGAAGGATTGAAAGTTGTTACGAAAAATTCTCATCGCAACAACCAGTGAAACTCGATCGACCTAGTTGGGATCAAATCAGATCGGTGCGTGGTTGTGATCAAGCAGTAAAGTGAGATAAGCAGGTTGAAAATAAAAGATGAATAGGTCGAAAGTGAGTAGAATCAAAAGATGATTCTTAAATAGGTTCGACGGGCTAATTCTCAAGCTTACGTCCTTTGTTATTTAATTGCTCTGGGTGTTTTTTTCTTTGATTATAGATGAGAAAGAGTTGCTCTCTTCTCTCAATGCGATATATGCGTAGAAGAAAGAAGACCTCTCTGCCCTGGGAGGCTTACATGAATGGAAAAGAAAGAGAGAGGGAGAGGATTGGAGAGCTTGAGAGGCCCCTATTTGGATAGAAAAATTAGCTTATATAGACGGTCACAGTGGCTAACTTCTATTTGAAGTCTAACTTGTTGCTAGCCTTTAACTTGTGCGCAATGTTTAACTTGAAAGCAATACTTAACTTATAGGTGGGCGCATAGCGAGGTGAATCCTTGAGCCGTTTCTCCCACTTTTTGAAATGGAAGTGGCTTCTGCCTGACAATGGTTGGAAGCTGATGCTTATTGGGGAATTTGCACGTATAATCCCTTATAATCTGGATTTGCGTTAGCCTTTTACCCATACTTAAGCCAGAGTAATTATTAAGCCATGGTAATTATGCTTGGAATTGATGAGCTTATTGGTTAAATTACTTGTTATGGGAGTGACACGTGAGATGATACTAATGGCTCGATTTTGGTTTGGTTGAAATACAGGTGGCACAAATCTGACGACTAGAAAATCAGGCACAACAAGAGCAATGATTTTATTTCTAAAATAAGAAAGCAACTAAAGCGTTAATCCTTATCACATAGATATGCTTTCACCTTCAATATATTTTAGTCCGGCCCCCTTTTGTAGCCGCTTTAACAACAGTATGTTTCCCCAAGTGAATTGAACCTATCCACTGCCGTTCTGTAAACAGTATATATTTATATGTACGCTGAATATTTTAGTATCAATTTGATACAAATTATTTACTAAATAAACTACTGTCTCCGGACCGACTCTTCTCTTATGATATTCATAATCTTTAAAGATCGTTATACCCCACTTTTGGAAAGCAGCCATAATAAAAATCATCATAATTATTAGAATCTTTCTTTGCTGATCATTTTAGTGCTTCGAATTAAGAGCTACATTGCTTTTGCTACAAATTATATGTGGAGCCTCCTTCCCTTTGTATAGATATGTTTTCAACTTAATTTTGACCAAACTTCATAAAATTATGAAACTAGCTAAAGGAAAGATGCGACAAATGGAAATGCCGACGCGTAAGTTACTTGTAGTAGTTATTTTACTGCTGCTTTTGAAACTTGGTATTTGACACTGGTGAATGATATTTCACCTAAGATATAATCATATTATTATATATTATTCTATGTAAGATATTTTCCCATATTCTACGAGCATTGAAAAGGTGAAAACAACATAACAATGTGAGCACTCTGACTAATTTGATTGCCGTCGGAGACAAATTGGTCAAGTGTTCAGCATATGACTTAAATTAATAGATCATTCAAAATTAATGTCGGCTTTTCTGGCTCTATTCTTTGTCAAAGAAACCACGGATTACTCCATTAAAGACAAATTCAATAAAATAATCTCAATATCAGTTAGGGTTTGGTAAACTACATCATCCGAACGCCAGCTTTATGTTATATTAGAAGAGCTTTACAAGAACATAGCTCTCTTATTTCAGTCGATTAATTAGTCTTCCAGAATAAAAATGGTCAAGTAACCCTTTTGGATTGCTAAATAGGAATCTGATTGAGCTTGCCGATATGCGTGCCTGCTTTATTTAGGCAGGCCAAACTGGAGTCTATTTCAATAATTGATATATTGTCTTTTAATTGGTCGTATTTTCAAGCGTCATTTTATTATTATCTGAAGGGGATCGATGTGATCTATCAGAATAAAAGTAGCACATGGATGCTTCCAAACTCGTCCATACCTATTTAATTTTATTTATTTCTGCTACACATTAATGCGCCAAGCAATTATTTGGTACAAGGCAAAGAGATAATGAATTAAGACAACGAATTCTTCGAGCATAAAACTTTCTCAAGCACTTTTTTTTATTTTGGGTAACCGGGGTATCCTCAAGGCCAAACACTTGTTATTATGGCAAGTGACCCCAAAATTTGAACTCAAAAACTTAAGGAAGGAATCAAACCTCCTTAATCATCATATTAATCCCTTAGAGTTATTTCTCAAGCACTTTCTTTTCTATATATTCTTTCATTTTACTAATTTTCTCCTTGAACTCAAATCTCCTGAATTATGCATACTGATCATGATTACGATGGTGTTAAACTTTAGATGGCTAGTAAAAATTAAAATTAAACAAGCTCAACCGTATATATCCTTAAGAATAAATCATTGAAATGAACCAAACAATTACCAAGTAGGAATTGGAAGTGAAAAGCACAATCTTTATATTCATATATAACATTCTACTTCCTTAAATTCCAGATGGTATTCAATTTAACATTCACCATAGAATTCACAAAATGACAGTTTAAGCATTTTAACTTTTTTTTATTTTCATTCAGGCACGAAATGCAGAAACCCTACACTTCAATTGGTATAGCTTATTCATGGATCATCGTTTCTTAATGAAATTAAAATTAATGGATACGTCCCTTCCGTAAAGCAAGAGCCAAGTTAACTTAAGTTATTTCTTTCACTGATGAAACAATACTTGAGCTCTTTTGTTTTCATGCAGCACTATACTATCTCATTTTTATGGTTGAGGGTTCATCATTTTACGAACAATGATTCTATTTGTTTCACAAAGTTGTAAAAGTTTCAGTCAGTTAAAATAATATATAAACTGAATGGTAAAAGCTCCACACATAGAACAATATGTCTCAATTCCTGCAGCCAGTGATACCGTTTTCAGTCAATTAATTATATAGATCGACAGAATTGAATTCAAACTCACGGCAACCCTTTTTAGGATGCTTTTGAATTTCCATTACTTTTGCTCCCTGTCTGCCACACCCAAAACACAAAAGTTAATGGCGTTTTCAAAATTTCAAGTAAGGGGCAAGGGGTAGATCAATAGATGGAAGGAAAAGAGAAAACCATATCTCACCAGAACTTTCAAGGACAAGTAATATAAATACGATACTCCTCAAGGAGTCGAAGGGAAAATATATTTTACTACACAACTGGAATTAAGTTCAAGAAAAGACTAGAGATGTCTCCTTTACCAAAACAAAGGTACAAGAGACTTTAACAATCCATACATATAGATAAAGCAAAAAAAAGTTCTAGCAACATATAGTCATATACACGCTTATACACTCTGCGTTAACTATCAATTCCATTGTAACTTTAATCAATTCAAGTATAGCTCCATAAACTTTCTCCATCTGAATTACCCGGTGAATCGTCTGAAGACGGTGGGTTTATCCTGGGTGGACTGACTAGCATTCCTTCTGCCATGTCCACTAGCAAATTAGGCATATTCAGAAGATCTTCTTCGTCAACAAAATCCTGACCTGGAGCCATGCAAGTTGTACTCTCTGTAGGACCCGGATCCGGAGTTGACTCCGTATCCGGCTTCTCTTTTTTGGCGGCAGCAGCTTGACTGGCAGCCGCTCGAATGTCACTGGCTGATGTAGAAGGCGGTATTGGATATGAAAGAATCATATTGGGAAAGTTTAACGGAGTATCAGGACCTTTCAAAGCAAGAGCCGCCACGTCATAAGCAGTGGCTGCCATTTCAGGAGTGGGATACGTACCAAGCCAAATACGAGTAGACTTACGTGGCTCACGTATTTCAGATACCCATTTGCCACTCCGGCTTCGAATCCCACGATAAGTAGGGTGCCTTCCTGTTGGTTGACCCGATGACCCACCAGGAGACAAAACGGGTCTGGGAGATCGACTGGTTGTTGAAGAAGAAGAAGACGAAAGATTTTGATATGGGTGAATTGTTGATGATGAAGAGTCAAGTTGTGGGACTTGTATAGTTGGGTTTGGTGGGTTTTGGTCTAAATTACTAGGAGGATCAGGATCAGCCATTTATTAAAATTAAACCACATGTGTGTAATCAAAGGCAATAAGAATAAGATTATATATAAATGTAAATGTAAAAGTAGTATAAGGTTTTCTGAAATGAAAATTTGTTTTGGGTTTATAAGAAGAGAAGTGAACCAATAGGGAATTGCGTGGGGAACTCGCGGGGCAAAGAAATCTGATAGCTTAAGAAAGTTGATTGTTTGAGACTTTTGTTTTTCAGAATTTTATTTATTGATGTGATAGTAAGGCGAGGATACAGTGGAAACACGTATTTTGCGCAGAAGGAAAAAGTGATTAGCTGTAACCTCTCTGGTTGCATGGACCTGTAAAATACAAAGAGATTAAAAACGTGGTTGATTGATTCTCATGATAATTTAGGTCATACCATTAATGTATGTAGGTGTATAGTTTATTGTTTTTTAGGTCACAGTTAAATTCTAAAAGAGGTAACACCAAATGACATTGATAGCCATTACTTCGTTTAATCCAAATCAACAGTTCCTTCATTGTGATGGGTTTGTGGGATTTCGAAGATTAAGATTATCATCCCTACTGAAAACGATAGTACCACAGCAATAAGGATTTTAACTTAATAAGTATATATGGTATTACAAACAAGAGTAAACGACATTTTCCAACCCAGAAAGTTTCAAAATACCACTTTTTCACCTAATGTTAGCATTTCATTACTATCCAAAGTCAATTCGGGCCAATTGCAACGCAAAAATTCTCTCAGCTACTATCATTTGAACCTTCAGCTTTCTCTTTATAAAATCTCTCTCACTCAGACACCTGATTTCTCGATGATTGTCAATCATTGTAAAGTTAGGATTTCTTGTGCTTAGATGATTTTCGGTTGATTCTAACAGTGAATATTCAATCAGTCACCACCATTCGGTCCACTGACCTCCACTCTACAAAAACTCTCTCACCTTGGCTCCTAAACGCCGGCTAAGAAAATAAAGTGCATTTTAGATACTAGCGGAATATAAACGTTGGGTTGGAAAGTGGTATTTTAAAACTTTTTGAGCGGAAAATTATATTAAGGCAAACCTTGGGCGGGAAAACGTTGTTTACTCTTACCAACGTTATTTTATTAGATATGATAACACAAAAATATTATTAATGATATATACATGTTTCAGCTTAGACTCACAACTTTGACTTAAAAAAAAAAACACACACAGACACATTTATATATGCAATCAATTAGAATTTCCATATCAAGAATCTAGTTCTTACTCAATTTCAACGATGCTTTATTTTTATTTTCTCCATGTAATTTGAGTATAAATTAAGGTTTTGACTTTGGAGCAATTAATAAAAATAAAATAAAAGTCAATAGAAATTAGATAATATTCATCATATCTCAAGTAGAAACTGCTTCAATAAAGAGTGAATAATTATGTTGCTAATATGACTTTAATAATATTAACCATCAATCTAATAAACTTAAAAAAACTTTTAAACCGTTGTATTGTAATAATAAAATGAAAAATATTATGTTTATAACACAATCCCACAATCTTTTCTTACAACCGTTAGCACTGTTGCATCAGCTCCCACCACATCGAAAGCATTAAATGATTTTAACTAGATATAAATGATCGTTTTTTCATAAAAAAAAATAGTTATTCCTCTCTAAGGAACGGTTATTCCTTCCTTGTAGAATGGTCATACCTTGGTCATACCATAAGAAATGAATGGTCATTCTTTATTCATTCCGTTAAGAATGGTCATTTCATCATGAAAAACGATCATTCTTTATAAAAGAACAATCGTTTCTTAGATCTAATTAAAATTATTTTGTACACTCAGTTGTCACGTTTGAAGTTGTATGAACTGTAGAATTATTCTAATAAAATATTTAAATCAATATTAGGTGGCATTTGTAACATGACGATGGAGGGTGTTGGAATTGGACCCCTACTGAAACGCAGAGAAAATGAAGCCATCAATAATGCAATAATAGTATTAGTATGGGCACACACCTATTGTATTCAAAGCGTAGGCCCATTTGACTGAAAGATCTTTTATGTAGCCGTTTATAGTCCCCAAATCTGACACGGGTCAACATCTGTATCCGTGCACCCGGGCCCGACTCTTCCATTACGCTTAGCAGACAGCAGATGGAAGGGACCATTCCCATCCCAACCCAACCCAACCCCATCAGGAAAATCAAAGCAAAACATCAAATCTACATTTACAGTTACCTTGGGGGGAAAAGTTTTGTGCGGGCCATACATGTAGACCGTACGATAAACCACTTTAGTATTCTCCTGTCCAATCACATGGCGCGTCCTTGTTGAATGATTTTTAATAATTTAAAGAATAATGTAAGGTCAAGCATGTACATGGAATGACTTTTTTCCCTAATCATTACAAATTCCAAACAAAAAATTAGAAAAAAAAAAATATATTAAATCATATTATTTGAAGCTTGAAGTTGTACTTTTTTAAAAGTGTCTATATTTTCAGACGAAATTGCCCCATATATAAATAAAACTAACACTATTCAGCTAACTTCTTCAACCCTAACCCACTCTTCCTCCATTGCCAAAATCAAATGGAATTTGAATGGAAATATTGGTTTTGGATTTAAGGTTTAAAGTGAGATAGTAGGATGAAGAACGAGAGATATGTTGAAGTGTTGTTGAGAAGGGTGCAAAAATGGCCAGATAATTGGGTTGTATAACGGTGAAATCAATGTTTTTTGGCCGAATCAAGGGGTTTCGGCAACATTCAACCACTTGAGAAGATGAAGTCGATTTTTGGTCAAATACCTTAGATTCGAACGGATTCGGCTAGATTCAACCAAGATGGGTTATGTCCAAACGATTGAATTGACCGAACACCTTAGTATCAAAAGGCAGAATTGACAGCCAAACTCGTCTTCAACCTCCACCCAATTTTCCGTTCAAATCCTCCAAAATTGGTTGAAACTATACCCAAATTTTGCCTAAACCACCAATTTTCAACATACCTACTGATAAATTAATAATCAAATGTCAAAATATATTCATTGTATGCCTTACAGTTACTTTTATTACATAAATTAAAATATTCACGTATAAATTTAAAATAACAATTACAAAATTTAATTGCATCACATATAGTATAATTAATCATTTTACACAAAATCTATTATCTTATACAAAACTTCATAAAACATATAATTAATTAATTATATATTTTTGGGGTGAGGTGGGTATTTTCGGGACGGAGCGGGGGTCAGGGCTACACCCATCCCCAAACCCGTCCCACCCCCACCACTGGGGAATTTTCTTCTTCCCATCCCCAAGATGTTCGAGGAATCCCTGATCCAATCAAGGCAGGTAAAAGCCCATCTCTACTCCCATTACCAATTAAATTTTCTCATGTCATGCGTATATTTAAACACTTAAAACTTATTGTAATTATCGATTTTCATAAACAATCAATATGATTATATTGTATTGATTTATTACCAGTTAATATGTTTATGAACATTTTCGATCAATCTACGAAATTAGATAAGAGATTAATAGATAAACTATATATGACTTTTTTAAATAAATAGATGAAAATAATAATGATAATTAAGAACACATATTACATTTAACTCAATTTTGAAACTTAGCACCTTTCTTTAATTCATGAAATAATTAGAATACTCAACATCTACAATACTATTGCAAAGTCCATCTTAATTTTGTGACTTTACCCTATAGCACCCACCCCCAAACAAACAACCCCCAAGGCCCCCCCCCCCCCCCCCCCCCCCCCCCCCCACAACAAAAAAAAAAAAAAACTTGTTTTCACCCTTTAACAAATTGATTTTCACTAATTTAGGTCTTTAGATTTTTTTGCTAGTTATCGTAAGTGTTGTCCTTGATTAGAAAAGATGAAAACCAGGTGAATGAGAATAGAAATAACCCATAGGTAGATAGACTGAGAGAGACCTTTCATAGTTGTACAGGGGAAATTTATTTGGTAGAAAAGTTATCTATATAGGCCATAGCACATGTGCAAAATAATAATTGAAAAGAGAGGGCGGTCCAATTTTCTTGTGAGTAAACCACTTTTTCCCAACCAAATAATGGTTTAATGATATTTTTTCACCTATAAACTTTTAAAATACTATTTTATTATCCAAATTTATATTTCGTTTTCGATTTCAGTATCATTATGACCACACACCATCATTATTCTCTTTCCCGATCATCACTAACCAAAATCTCTCAAACTTTACTCTCGTCAACCCCACCAATCACCGACAATCGAGTGGTTAGAGTTTATGCAGCCGCATCTCCTAAGTCAAATTTTAATTAATCTTAACCACCAAAATATAATATTTTACTATTAAAAAACCCATCATTTTCTTCTTTTAAAAAACCTTAATAATATAGATCCAATTTACTTTTTATTTATCTTTAAAATATAAATATAAATATTAAAATAATATTTTAAAATTTATGAGTAAAAAAATACCATTAAACTATGACCTTAAAAAGTCGTTAACTCTTTTCTTGTAGAATGTAGACAAATTAACCCAACGAAAAGCAATAAATACACAAAGTAGTGTCATAAAGTATTCACGTGATGTGCATTAACTTCGTCAAATCACTATCTCCAAACCATTCACATGTTAATGTACTAACATTGTCAAATCACTGGCACCAATCAATAATTCCACATTTATTGTCTCCACTTATAAATGATAAATAAATAAACACTAAACGGCTTTTTATCACGCACGGGTTACCTTAACGACATTATTCTATCAAAAAAAAAAAAAAAAAAAAAAAGAAGTTCAAAATACTATTACCTCTTCTAAAGTTTATATCATGGTGATGATTAATTGAATATTTATCTCTAGAATCAATCGAAAATCAATTAAGAACAAAAAATCTTAAATTTATGATAGTCGACAATTGGTAAGAAATCAGGTACCGAAGCGGGAAGAGTTTTGTATAGACGAGACCAAGGGTTTAAATTATGATGACAGATAAAATTTTTACAGTTAAAATCAGCTTTTGATTGTAACGGAATATTAACTTTAAGTGAAAAAGTGATATTTTGAAATTTTTTGGGTGGAAAAGTGTCATTGAGGCCAACCTTGGGTGGGAAAACGTTGTTTACTCATAAATAAATTATTAATCCCTTTGCTACTCTATTATGAATTTTAAAGGCCTTCACCCCATTTTTAAAATAAAATTATCAACTACTTAAATGGCGGCTTTTATTTTTTTGTTTTATTTGGCCTGATCATTGAAATATAAGTTTCATCATGATGTCTCCCTATTGATTGTAATTTTTATTATAATAATTACAAAATCTTTTTATCCATTTTAATTATAAAAAAAAAAATCTAGAATATAACTGGTATATTACCAATTAAATGTTTTGTACACTTTTTTTAATAGGATTTTTAAAATCCTATTATGAATAGGAAATACTAAGATAGGATTCTAAGAATGTGTTGGTATATTATTGGAAAACATTTTCTAAAAATATTTAGATTATTTTTTAACCTCTTACATTTGTTAGTTTAGTTAAACACCCCTCATAAGAAAAGTTTATAAATTAACAAAAACACTCCCACCCATCCAACTGATTGCTGGCAATCGGCTACCACTGTTGAACGGTGGTTGACAGTTGCCCGAATGGCACACGATCGGTTGAATCTAGCCGATCATGCGTCGATCTGGTCGTTTTCGACCAAATCCACCATGAATTTGGTCAGAAACAGCTAGATCTATGGCCAAAGATTTGGCAGTTGACCACGACCATATCTTGGTCATAGTTGATGACCAGATTTCTGGCGTCGCTTGTCCGTCAATGACGACAAAGATATGGTTGTTGTTAACGACTAGATCTCTGGCCATAGGTCTGGCTATTTTTTGCCGCCAACAACCAGATCTTTAGCCGTAGATCAATCGATTGTGAGTCATTCTGGCGGCAGCAGCGACAGCCGACGACAGGTGCTAGCAGGCGATTGTTGCTTGAGTGGGTGGTGTTTTTTTTGTTAATTTATTAACTTTTATTGAGAAATGTAATTGTTAAATATTTTGAGTTAAATATAATATGATTAAATTTTCAATTGAATAGTCAATACTAAAACAAACTCGTTTTTTCACTTTTTAGGATAAGATAGTAAAATAGAATTGGGTTTGAAAACAAACACGTTTTTTACTTTTTATTATAAGATAGTAAAATAAAATCAGGTTTGAAAAGTTAAACAAAGAGGGGGATACATCCAAAAAAGTTACCATGACTTTTTTTTATTGGTTTTTTTATCCATATTTTTCTTTAATTTCTATCTTAAAATTATTTTCTTGGAAATTTTAATTTGTAAAATAAGGCATTAAGAAACTAATTTCATGAAAGACAAATGAAATAGTTATATCAATATATTTTATTTAAAAAATAAAAAAATTATTTTCAAATAATTTATGCTAATTTAATTACCCTAATAAAATGGGTCAAAATTTTGTTATTAAAAAATGACCATCACTCGTCCAAACAAACTCTATCTCTAGTGTCTGCCACTCTACCCTCCAATTCAATAGTCGTTATTTTCTTATCCAAACTCGCAAGTCGCAACATAATCTGAAGAAGAATAACTCCTTCACTCTCTCGTCCATGGAGACTCTTGTAAAAACAACGTTCCCCATTTTCTCCACAAACCCAAATCACCTCACAACCAAACGTATTAAACCTTTGAAGGTCTCAATAAAACCTCCACCGCCAGAGTTTGACTTCAGGACTGAAATTCTGTCAGACTCTCGAGCCACAATCGCCAAAACTTGTCCAGAGTTACTTAACTTGGCAGATAATGGGACCTTAATATTGATAGAAAAGAGGAAGTTCGGTCCAGTGCCAGCCTGGAGGACTGAGTTTATTGAACCTGACACCATATGGTTGATCGGGACCACTCATCTTTCTCCTCGTTCAGCCTCTGACGTGGAGCGTGTCCTGCGGGCAGTTGAGCCGGATAATGTGGTTGTCGAGCTCTGCAGAAGCAGGCAAGTTTCGTTAGTTCGCTTTCCCGGAAGCTTTAGCTTTTATCAACCGAGTCCGTTGGATTTTCTAATCAATAATTTAGTAAAGATGATTACTTTTAGTTAGTTTTGTGTCAAGTATGTTGTTTGTTTTAATTTTTTTTTCCGCTTTTTAACTTAAATTATCGCACAGATCATTTTCAGAGCTGGGATTATGTACACTTCAGACGGGGGTGAGAATGACCCACAATTGCAGTCAAATATGTTTTCTTTGAGCGGAACTGGGTTTTTTGGTGCTGTTGGTCGCAGCATTAATTTGGGTGAGGATTCATTTCTTGTGTGTTTGTTTATGTAAAAAAATGAAGGTAAAAGGGCAAATAACTAAATGTTCGAAAATAATTACAGGGGGTCAAACAGCTCTAGCTTTGCGTCTGCTTCTGGCCCTTTTCTCATCCAAAATTTCTTCCGATGTCAACCGCCCTTTTGGAGATGAGGTAATGGACTGGTGAGAAGTACTTTAGAGTGACAATTTGATAATAAATTTGGACTTCTGTGTCTCAATTTATGAATTTGTTCTATGATTTGCAGTTTCGTGCTGCTCGAAAAGTCTCTGAGGAAATTGGTACTCAAATTGTTTTGGGAGATCGACCAATTGAAATAACCGTATGTACACTTCAGAATTTGCATTTGATTCATCATGTGTTAAAATTTTACAACTAGGTTGTAATTGCTTTATATATATGTATAATAGTATCTAGAGGTTAGAATATTCACTTGTATGGAATGTATGAACTGTGAAATGAAACAAGATTACAATAAAATAACTCACGTCGTTCTGTTTATTTTGTTTTTCTAGCTTGAAAGGGCTTGGAATTCTCTGAAATGGACTGAGAAGCTTAGTTTAGTGATAGCAGTTATTCGTGGGCTATCATCATCATCTGATATGTCCTTGAACAATCTCAAGGTTTTTCTCTTACTGATTTTCTCCTTTTCTTTTGGTACAAATCTTACTGGTACTGAATCTGCATATGTACATGTAATTTATACTTACATTAAGCTGTCTTAGGCTTATGTGTCAATTTCTTGTTTATTCTTGACATGTTTAGATACCTGCCTCCCATGGAATGGGGAAAACGAGAACAAAATAAAATTCTGGTTAGACTAAATTTCTTATTTATTAACTCTAATGAACTTGTTCAGTCCTCTTGTTCTCTATCACGCCACCCCTTTTAGTTTGTTATATTATCAATTACATTATGTGAATTCCATGGAACCTGTTAGTTTTGCTGCTTACTTATCGAGCTTCTTCGTGATTATAAATTGATCCTATGCATCTACAAAACCGTATGCTATTGCCGACACCCACAATAATATTTGCTGTCCCGGTGGTGGTGAAGATTAGTTGATATAGGAGACCCTGAAACGAGAAGAAAGGGATTGAGATTGATATATAAACTACAACCCAGTATCAAAATGTAATATGGCTGCAGATTTTATATTTGAAAGCATTGTATTATAATTCTTCATGAGCTTCTGGTATGTAATCCAACTTATCTGTCCTGTTCCATTTTTTAAATGATGATGATTCTATAATTCTGCATTTTAGGCTTAATATTTTTTAATCTTAAAGATCTCTTTTCTATCAATTTCTGTTACAGGAACCAAGTCCAGATGACAGCACTTTTCAGCTTTACGAACAGCTAAGTTTCTCGTATCCATCACTCCTGCAGCCTCTTATCCATGAACGAGACACGGTAAAAAATATCTTTGAGCCAGCCAGATTATCTATTAAGAAAGTCGAATATTATTTTATTTGTAAGTTGTAACGTAGATGATGAACTTTCGATTCTTGAATTATCCCCCCCAAAAAAAACTCTTATTAGGATCTTACTATCAATCCTTTAACGAAAAGCAAAGGAGGAAATCTTGAAATGAATTATACGACTTCACTGGTAATCTAGATTTTTAGACTTTGTTATCTAAGGCAACCTATTGCTGCATTTTCAGTATCTTGCATGGTCACTAAAACGGAGCAAAGCAGTGAACAACTCAAAGAAAGTGGTGGGAGTGATCGGAAAGGGCCACATGAACGGCGTAATATATGCATTGATATCGGATCAGGGGAACTTGCGATTTAGGGATCTTGCTGGGAAGAAGGCATCTAGTGATGGCTCTAATGGCTTGGTCGCTGGCCTCCTCAAGAGCTTGCTTAGAGACACTGTGATTGGCGTTGTGTTGTGGGCATTATATGAACAGATAAAAGATTCACTATAGTATACTTTTAAAAACTTTATTATATCACTTCGTCAAATTTCAAGTGAATTAAGTCAACTACCAGATTTCAATTCTTTTGTATATCCTAGAACTTTCTGGGAACTGCTACATTATAGAATTAAAAATATATATATATATATATATATATAATTAATTTTTAATTAATTTTTGAAAATGGTTTTAATTATGTTTTCCATTTAATTAATGATGTTGTGTTGGAATTTCGGGTGTATTTGTTTTATTATTTTGAGTAGTATTTTTGAAATATTATTGTTAAATTGAGTTGGGTTATTATTACGAGGTAGATTTGAAAATTAACAAAAAACACTATTGAGTTTGTTAATTTAGTTAAACACTCCCAATAATAAAAAGTTATAAATTGCCAAAAACACTCACACGCATCCACAGTTACTAGATTTCGGCCACCACCACTAGAATATAGTATCATTAGCCTTTTCCAACCAGATCCACCACAGATTTGTCCGAAAAAGGCTAGATCTAGCCACATATGGCCGTCAACGACGACCATATATTAACCATCATTGACGATCAGATGTAACCAAAGATGTGGCTAGGAAAGGCCAGATTGGAGCACTACCTGTCAGATCTAATTGGTAGTGCGCCATTATGCTAGATTCTAACCACCTTCTAACCGTGATTGCCAAAATCTAACAAATGTGGGTGAGTGGAAGTGTTTTTGTTAATTTATAAAATTTTTTTATTCAGGGTGTTTAATTAAATTAATAAATATATGAGGGTTTTAAAAATTGAATATTGTAGGATATGATTTTGAAAATATTAAAACAAAACGCGCACTTTTTTAGAATAGAAATAGAATATTTGAAAACACGAAACAAACAAGCCGAAAATATTTGAAGTGACAAAAATTAGTCACTAGAAAATAATTAAAGCCCATTGGGCTAAGTTGGGCCTAAAATTAGCTGCCTATATCTGGCAGCCCAAATCCAAGAACTTCACTTAATCACTTTATCTCTTACTCCCTCAATATAAAGAGTTAATATTAAATTCCCCTGAGGTTTGATTAAATGACAAAGATCCCCCTGAGGTTTAATTTTTAATAAATAAAATTTATATTCAAAATTTTAATTATTAAAGCAGATAAACAAATTTCAAAATAATAATAATAATAATAATATAAATAAAATGCAATAATTAACCTTTTAAATAAATTTCTAAAAACATTAGTAGATATTTATTATTCTTAAATGAAAATTCTACCTAAAAACAAATCAATTAAAGTATAGTAATTATTATTAGCTAAGTCCAATTTTAAGTATATTTAAAAACAACAAGCAGCACCTAGTTTCAAACTGTGGTTTTGTTTTGAGATTGAGATACTGTAATTATAATACCTCATTCCTTTATTTATAATATGTACAAATTTTATTAAATCATATTTATTACAAGTTTTCTAGAAATTAAAAATGACGTTAACAAGTGTATTCATCATTGTACACGTGTCCTCCCTTGACCTGGGTTTCATGGTCTTTGTGTGAGACTTCCTGTTATCCAAGGGAGGTCGAGCATGCCATAGGTAAAATTGATTTAAATTTACTTTTAATTTTCTAAATATATATAATTAATAAATTACCGAAAACCCCATAAGGTATGGCAATCTTGTAATAAGATAGAGATTGGTTATAGTTTTTATCCCACAATTATGTTATCTATATATAAACAAGTTTCAATTTATAGAAATTATGGGAAGTATTTTATTTTTATAATTTATGTATCAAATATAAAAAATAAAGATTTTCTTCATAGATTCTCCTTGTTATAGTTTCCATAAAATCCAAATCTAAGCTTTTGGGACTTTTTAAAGAGGATTACAAGTAGAATTTAAATGATTTATGATTCTTTAAAAGTATATAATTAACAAGTTATTAAGATCCGATCCGATGACTCGTGTCAATCTTATAACATATAAGATAAAAGATTCTTATAATAAGATAGAATATTAACGGTTATACTGTTATTGTTAGATCATTATTCATTATAATTTGTCGTTTTCCTCTTAAATTATAAGATTTTTATAACATTTAAACTATTAAATTGATACTTTCATGTGTTGTTGTTGATTCTTCCGTATATACGATGAATGATTTTTTTTTTTTTAATTATTTAAGAACATACATTTCAATAATTTAAACCATTAAAAAAACTAAAATAAATCATTTCTTATTGGAAATTAAGGAACTAATAAGAGGAATTTAAATAAAAGATTTCATAATCTTCTTTAAAAAGAACTCCTTCATAAGAATCTATCACTTCTGGTATTGAGCAATAAATATATTGATTTTGCTCTAGATTTTGGCATTAATTGCATAAAAAATTCAGGGGGTAAACATGTATTTTGTCAACATAATTTTATTAAACACAGCATTGTTTTGTTTAAAGACGGAAAAATTAAGGGTGGAAGGTTGAATACTACTATTACTATATACGGCTTCTTTTTATCTTTATAAAGGACAAATGTAACACTGACTTTCTGCCAAACACTGGTTTTTCTACATCACAGTCTCCTATAAATCCATCTATTGTCCACCTTGTTGTAGTCACATACAACCGTCGAACTATTTGTCATATGGTGGTAAAATGTGTCCATCTTTCAACCTAAAACCTCTCCTGATAAGTTTAATATCTTAGTTGACGATGATCCTACACTCTTTCTATTGTTTCAGCTTTGCTGAATCTGGCAATATGAAGGTATTCATTAATGGATCTCCGCCCACACCACACACACTTGTTTAGTTTTTCTAGCCTCACCTCAACCAATCTCGTATCTTGGTGATGATTTGGAAAAAAAATATTTCATGAAGAGAAAAGTTTTCTTTTATATGACTCCCCCTTTTCTGGTTCTTTCATTTCCTTTCAGTAGATCTAGAAATTGTTTATTATTGTTTGCATACTTTTGAATCTTCTATTTGTTTTGAGAAGGTTTTGCATGCATCAATTTTGGGTACACTTTAAAATCTAAGGTTTTTTTTTTTTTTTTTTTTTTTTTAATAGATATAGATATAATAAGTGCTTTTGTTTTCCATTTTTTTATACAACGAAAAGGATTGTTTTAGATATAAAGTAAAGTATGCATGTACACGATGTACATCATACTCTTGTTAAGACTGAATAAGAGATGAAAATGTTGTATTTGAAATATTATTTGTGAATTAATCACATAGAAAAATTATTACTTCTTTATTGGTAATCAAATTTTATATTTTCTCTATTTTCTTAATAGTAAAACAATTTGAAAGCTTTAATTTTATTTTTGTTCTTTAAATTAAATGGCCTTGTACTGTTATATATGTTTTTATTACTCAGATCGAGGTATTAGTTTCCATTCTGCCTGTTAAATATATTAATATATGCTTGATTATAACCATTTCAAATTCTCTCTTGCAATAACACTATATTTATTTATTTGCATGTTGATTTACCTGGTTATTTTGTCTCTTTATATTTCAGCTATGACTGTCAAGTCCCCAGTGGATGCTCTAGCTACAGTCAGGACTCGGCATGATCGTATCGACCTCGTCCTTACCGACCTCCACATGCCTGAAATGAACGGCATAGAACTGCAAAGACAAATCGAGGAAGAATTTAAACATTTGCCTGTCATTAGTTAGTACCATTTTGATTGAAAAGTTTTATACTTTTTTTATTATATTGTAAGTGTTATGTTTAATTAATTAACATGAATATTTCTTAATTTATCAATTGCAGTAATGTCCTCAGATGACAGAGAGAGTGTCATACTGGAGAGCTTAGCCAGTGGAGCTGTGTTTTACATAGTGAAACCAATCAACCCAGATGATCTGAAAAATGTGTGGCAATATGCCATTACATCTAAGAAAGGTAAATCTCTGTACATTGAGGACATTGGAAGCATCCAATTCGGAGGATCCTTAGCTCATGAGGATATTAGTTCAGCATCATCTGTCAACGAAGAAAGGCATGTAAAAAAGAAAGATCACAAGAGAAAGGCTATCAAAAAGGGTAAGGACTACATGGAAGGAGAAAACTCCGTTGCTCCAAAGAAGGCCAAGGTGGTTTGGACAAATTCTCTTCACAATCGTTTTTTGCAAGCCATAAAGCTTATAAGCCTAGAAAGTAAGTTTATATTATTTGTTACTTGTAATAATAATGTTGTCATTCTCTTGTTACTTCTTTTGATTAATGAATAATATTTTTATTGTTTGTGATCTTCTGTTCTGTGAAATTCATGCAGAGGCTGTCCCCAAGAAAATTCTTGAGTGCATGAATGTGCCAGGCTTAACTAGAGAAAATGTCGCTAGCCATTTGCAGGTTTGCTCATAATTACTACATAAATTTCACCTTCCTAATTAATTGAGTTGTAATTAAACATGCCCCCGTAATTGGCATATATTATATATGGTTATTGCACTAAAATATAAAGTTTTGTTATCTCAATACAGTTAAATATATAATAATATATATAATAATAATATAATAATAATAATAATGATAATATATATATATATATATGTACACTTTACAATTTCTTAATGGAGTTTTATTTTGAATTGGTTGGTTGAGATGATCCTATATGACTTATACAACTGATTTACATTGAAAAAAAACACAAGTTAGGTTCAATCTCAATAATTAAATGAAATAATTTTTGAAAATTTACTTCAAATAATGGTAGTATATGTGCTGTGAATTTTGCAGAAGTACCGACTCTTCCTGAAACGAGTTGCAGAGAAAGGCATTATTGTTACAACTAAGAACTTCTCCAGTAGGAACGTTATGTCCAGTACTTTTGCAAAATCAGGGCAATCCTCGTTGCAGCTTAAACATGCTCAACAAGACAATAAACAATTCCAAGGAAGGCAGCCAACCAGAACTTCATTTCAACTAGCAGGTTATGGAGGCAGTACCTCAGCTCTTAATGGTGGCAACATTGGTTCAAGGCAAGGTTATGTGTCTCAACTCGGTTTGCAGCTGGGAAATGAAGCTAATCTTTATCAACCAAATTTTGGAACCACAAATCCTCTCGGTCAGGCAAATCTCCCCACTTTTGGAATGGGATCAAATGACTTTGGAAACAATTTGTTTTCCCTTGGAGGCATGCCCGGTGGTCTTCTGAATGGCACCAATCCAATGCAAATGTATCCTCAACAGTCTCAGGCAAGGCCAGATATGAATTTTGGAACTCCAGGAATTATCAACCTTCCTCCAAATTATGCTGGGATGTCAATAACTGATGATATGGAGCTCTCTCCAATTGGCCAAATGGCACTCGATGGTAATTTTCTGAATGCTGGTTGTGGCTTGATCAATCCGGCTCACAATGACAATATGAATATTGGCCCAGCGGGAAGTGCTACATTTGGTTATTTCCCTCCTGGAGAGTCTTCTTCTACAGAGTTTGATCGTGCAAATTACCCATTCCAACCAGCATTTGCCAGTGTTAATCAACAAGAAAGCACTCCAATCCTGCCACCACTGCAACAATATGGTCTCGGCCGCAACAATGGACAAAATAATTTTACTTCTGATTTGATGAATAATGCTTCTGTGTTTGGTAATCCACAGCAACTCAGGGAAGGCAACATTTCTGACATTCTGTCTGGGACAACAAACTGTCTATTTCCGTATCAGGTGAGTAAATTTTATTATAATCTTGCTTAATATCAATTTAATTATATTTTTAGCAAACCAATTAGCTTTCACCCAAATTCTTTATTTTCTTATTGACAACAAGTTTTGATATGTATAGCAACAAGGGAGTGAAGGTGGCCCGAACCCTAACTTTCCTACCAGGTCAAATTTTGCTGAAATGAATCCTCCAGGCAATTTATCCTTGAACCTGGACTTTTCTAGCGCATTTGGTGTTGAAGAAAATGATCCTCGCCTTAATAATGAACCAACTCTTGATCAGGCATGGCTAATTCTTCCTTCATTTTGTTATAAATAATAGAAGCAATATTTCCAGATTTTTTTTATAAAACAAAATTACTTCTAATTAAGTTTATATATCTTATGCAGCTTCAGGAGATTGAAGAAGCTATGAACCCAGACTTGGAGAATGGGAACAATCCAATGGATGACTACTTCCCAATGTTTAATGAAAACCTTGACCAGGCAAGTCTAGTTCTCACTTCATATCAATCTTTACTTCCATTCATGTAACCCTAACCCACTGGTTTTTATATTACTGTAGCAACAAGGAAACGAAGGCCAGGTCAACTCTGAGCTAAATTACCTGTTAATGGACACTGCCCTTTCAGGAAATCAGGTATGTCCACAATTTTTAACCTCAAATTAATGGCTTCAATTTAACTTAAGTTTCAGAGTTTTTGGAAACTTTTCTTAAAGAAAATGTGTTTGGTTCTCACTGCAGGAATGGGACGAGTTCTTGAACTCTTTGTTTAAAGATCACCCATTCTGAGAGAATGATCGCCAATCTGGGAAGGATCTAAATCCAGTCATGGATAAACTTCTATCAGCTTCTATGGATTGGATTCAGTTCAATTTCTAGTTTTCTTAAGTAGTAGTTCTTGGTTTTTGTCATTGCGTTTGAGTATAAGCTTTTAATTGCTAATAAATTAAGCGGGAGACTTTTTAAATAATTATATTTTATCTTTGTCTTGTTGGCTTTTGCCATTGCGTTTGAGTATAAACTTTGAAGTTTTAATTGCTAATAAATTAAGAGACTTTTTAAATAATTATATTTTATCTTTGTCTTGTTAATTTTAATTATAAGTTGTGTGCTAAAATCTCTTCTCCTACTCCTAGACTCTAATTTTTTTTTTTTAATAAAATCTTTTTGTGAATTTGAATTTATTTCTACCACGACTTGCCGTTTGAGTTTATTTATGAGTTAAAGACTTTTGCCCACCCAAATAACGGTTTAATAATACTTTTTTTATCCATAGACATTTAAAATACCATTTTACTACTCAAATTCATACTTTGGCAGCGAACAAAAAGTAACCTCAGTCCAAACTACTACGGCTTTTGAAGAAGGGATGCCGATGAGTGTTTTGGTAATGGAAAGTTGGATTTTGGTGGTTGGGATTGATCAAAATTTAACTTAAGATCTAGGAGCAGTTGTGCAAACCCTAATCGCTCGATTGCCGAAGATTGACAGAGTCAGCAATAGTAGGGTTTGAGGGGTTTTGGTGAGTGATGATTGGGGAAGAGAATTGTGGTGGTATGGGGTCGTAATGATGCCAGAATCGGAAACAAAATAATAATATGAATAGTAAAGTGGTATTTTAAAAATTTGTGGGTGGAAAAACTTTTAACTTTTAATTGCTAATAAATTAAGCGGGAGACTTTTTAAATAATTATATTTTATCTTTTTCTTGTTAATTTTAGTTATAAGTTGTGTGCTAAAATCTCTTCTCCTACTCCTAGACTCTAATTTTTTTTTTTTTTTTATAAAATGTTTTTGTGAATTTGAATTTATTTCTACCACGACTTGCCGTTTGAGTTTATTTATGAGTTAAAGACTTTTGTCCACCCAAATAACGGTTTAATAATACTTTTTTCATCCATAAACATTTAAAATAACATTTTACTACTTAAATTCATATTTCGGGAGGGAACAAAAAGTAACTTCAATCCAAACTACTAGGGCTTTTGAAGAAGGGATGCCGATGAGTGTTTTGGTGGTGGAAAGTTGGATTTTGGTGGTTGGGATTGATCAAAATTTAACTTAAGATCTAGGAGCAGTTGTGCAAACCCTAATCGCTCGATTACCGAAGATTGACAAAGTCAGCAATAGTAAGATTTGAGGGGTTTTGGTGAGTGATGATTGGGGAAGAGAATTATGGTGGTATGGGGTCGTAATGATGCTAGAATCGGAAACAAAATAATAATATGAATAGTAAAGTGGTATTTTAAAAATTTGTGGGTGGAAAAGTATCATTAAGCCATTATTTGGGTGGGAAAAAGTCGTTTACTTTTTATTTACCTGTCAACTCACACAGTAGTGGATCCAAAACTTTCTATTAGAGTGGGCTAAAATAAAAAATAATTATACATTAGTATTTCTATTAGAGTGGGCCAAAATCCAGAAATTATACATATTAATTTTTTTTTTTTTTTTTAAATGGCCCACCCTCAGCAAGTATTGGATCCACCCAAACTTCTTGGCTTTGATTCTCTTTATAGCATGACTAGTCATTTAGTTTTGTGAAAGATAGGCCATCAGTTTGAATTTCGATGCACGATTGGTTGTTCAAGGTCTTAAATTCTTACATTACAAACTTTATGATTTGTCTTTAAACCACTTTCACTACAACTTCTCTCTAGTTGCTAACTGTTTATATGTCCTCCATTTTGGTCTTTAAATTTCTTTCTTTCCTTTTTAAAAGTTTGAGACTATCAATACCAAATTATTGTCTGGTATTCAACTTTTAACGAAATTAAACATAAATAAACTTAAATAAATATTAACCCATCAATATTTGCATTAAAAAAAAAAAGTATAATATAATTTTGTTTTGGGTAACCAGAAATTGTATTAAAGAATGAAGAAATATAGCCTAACAAGGGAAAAAAAGATCCCTTAGGGAAGAACCTTGGACAAACCCCAAATGTTCAAACTACACGAAGGAACCACCGATAAACAATCCCAAAAATCTCAGGATGCACACAACAAGGAAACACTAAACAGACCTTGCTCCACAAATAGGAAGGTTAGCATATAATCATATATATCCTATCTATCTTCCACCCAAAAAGAACCCCACAGGGCAATAAAAAAAAGCAACCTTCGGCCACCCCCAATCATCAATACAATCCTTCCAACACACAAAGCAGGGAGTGGGGACATGGGAGATTTGATGACCAAAATAAGCAGTTTCCAGCATGGTCAGATCTCCCAGTTTCAACCAACAAAGGGTCAACCAAAACAGACCCTCTCTGAACGCCACACAGCTCATCCAACAAATAGCATAAAGCAAAAAAGAACAACAGGAGTGGAGACATTTTTCGGCCTGAACAGCACAAACACACTAAGATAAACCAGCCAAAATGAGGAGGCCGCAATAAGCTAGCAAATTACAGCGACCCATAATCCAAAAAAACTCCCCAGAGGAAATCCCAATCATCATCCAGTACAAAGGCCTGCCATGCCAAGCTCATAGGAACACCATTCCTCCAAATAACATGCCATAAACTGCATAGCCTAGACAGCTTAGCTATGCACCAGCAAAAACCCAACAAAAGAAAAACTAAAACCTACCATCCTCAAATCAATAACCACGATAACCATTTCGAACATAATAAAATTTGTAAGCCTGATATTATTTTAACTTAAAATAGTTCATATTTGATTGGAGTTAGAATTGAAAATAGGCTACGAGATGTTGATTATTAATAAGAATAAAAATTATTTTTAACCCCTAAACATTGTGTAACTAAAAGAAAACAAATAAAATAATAAATACAAAGACTATAGAACAAATAAATGAAATTAGACCAACATGATCCATCCCCTCGTTGAGCCAAAGCCCATAAATAAAAGCTAAGCCTATATATATATATATATATATGTAGTTTTTTTCTTTTTTTGGTTGTTAAATCCAGAACTCTTACCAATTAGAAAAATATTATTTCTTGCAATAAAATAGGAATTACTGTCCATCGTCCCCAACTTTCCTTCTCAAATCCCAATTGTTTTGAATGTCAAAAGTAGCCGTTGCAAAATCTCTCAAGACCTTTCACTACAAATACGAAAATCTAATAGAAAGATACTAGAACAAAAAGAAAATATCTTCCTAAATATTTTGTTCTGAGGATCTTTGTGGGTAAAGATTTATTATTAGATTTATCTGAGAAATAGATCAATGATGCCTGGTGGTGGTCGCTGTGCAGCTTGCAAATATCTGCGAAGAAGGTGCCCTTCAGATTGCATTTTCTCTCTTTATTTTCCAGCCAATGATCCTCAAAGATTTGCTTGTGTTCACAAAATCTATGGTGCCAGCAATGTCGCAAAGATGCTGCAGGTACTATTTAATTAATGAATCAAATGATATTTCAGCCATATGGGTACTTTTCATACTGGCTTTTCATTGTTTTGACGCTATCACTTAGTACTGCTGCTTCTGCTTTTATGTACTGCTGCTTCTGCTTTTATGTCTGCATTATTTTGCGCATTTTTTCTTTTGTTTTTTACTGGGTTTCCGTGTCTTGCTACTGCTACGGTCTGGGAAAAGTAAAATCTTATTTTCATTTTAAAAATAATAATCATTTAACTTTAAGTCCATCGAGAATTAATGTCATTATGTGTATGAACATATACATTCTGATAATATTGAGATTACTAGATGCTTTGCTTTTGAGGTTCATTATTTTGATTAAATGTTCAGCAACTTCCAGCAAATCTACGAGCGGAAGCAGCAGATTCGTTGAGTTTCGAGGCACGACATCGAGTTGAAGACCCTGTTTATGGTTGTGTTGGAATTATTCATCGTCTTCATCAACAAATACAAAACGCAGAGACCCAATTAGCTAAGACTCAAGCTCAACTTTTCGGTTTCATCAACACAATAATAGATTAATTGAAACCTTCAAAATCTAGCTAGTTTCAAAATTACTGTCTTGCCATTGTATCAATGTGGTTTATCTTTCAATCACAGTAATCAAGTTCTTTTCAAGACCTTTCTTCATACTTTCTCATATTCTTTTATTTTATTTTGAACATTCTTGTGTCCTGGACATAATTCAATCTTGACTGGAATTTGGGTTTATCCTATTTAGGAACTCGGCCAGTCGGTTGAACAGTGACCCGGAGCCTTTATTGGGTCAGTTTTCTCTTTTTTTTTTTTTATAAAACTTATTTTTTTTTATTTTTTCTTAAACTAAATTGTAAATATAAATAATACATATCCAAATAAAAATTAAATATTCATATATATCAATTGATCACTACTAACAAAACATTAAAAAATTATTATTTTTTATTTAATATATAATATATAATATTATTAGTTTTTTATTTAATATATAATATTTATTTTTATTTAATATAATATATATTTTAAATTCAAAAAACCGGTTTCAGTTAACCGCTTTTTATTTTTTCCCGAACCGGTAACCAAACCGAAAATTTAGTTTTTTGAATTTTTCAAACCATAACCGAACCGTTAACCAGTTTTCTGGTTCGGTTCAGTTTTTATTTTTTTTTTAACACCCCTAGGCAACGGCGTCGATTTTCGGTGAGTAAATCGACCGAAAATTGCAAAACAACGTCATTGGAAAAAGCCCTCTGTCGCTAGTGATTAGGGAGGTGAACGGGGGAGGAGTGAGATGAGTTTGGGTCAGGAGACTTAGGAGAGTGTTTTTATGGTGATAGGGAGTGTTGTCATTGCCGGAAACATGCCTTATTTGCCTATGCCGACAGTGGTGTTTGGGGTGTTTTTGTAAAATTTCAAACCTACAAGGACTTACATAATTTTTAGGGGTATCTTTGTTAGATTTTAAACTTTAGACACCGGTTTAACCGATGGCCTCAAACTGATCAAACTGCTCGACCTGGGCCTAGTGGCTTGGGTAGGTCACTGCACAGGTTGGGTTTCTAATCACTACAATTTTGTACCAAAAGGGATGGGCTTATTAGAGAAAACGTGGGTCCAAATAATAACCCCATCTTTAGATTTCTCAATAAGAAAATATTTAGTGGATAATAGTGAATCCAAGCCCAAAGAGTAGGCCCGGTTCTATGACTGAAGATACAACCTGCCCTGTTGTTTCAAAAATCAAAATCACATTCCTAATGATCAATTCAAGTTTTTAATGCATATTTTTTTCTTAATTTTTATTTTTCCTCTTGGTTGGATTGGATGAATTTATCACGTCAAACGACATATAGCACCCCATAAACTTTATTTAATATTAGACATCGTATTTGAAACACTTATAAAATTGACAATTATGATGAAAATTTAGAATATATATTGAAATTCTTAAATTCTGCTTGTGATTTTAATATTTATTGATGAATTATCTAAATGATTCCATCACTCAAAATATTCATATGACTTTCATAATTTATTATTCGTTTTGACATATATATATATATATGTCGATATCTTTTAACTTTAATTGAGACACAGATTTTCAACCGTAGATATTTGTAATTTAATGGATGAGAAATAGTTTAGAGGTATCTATTTTGTTTGGCACTTAAGCAATTTCTATACCCATTGGATTGTATTGAATCCATGATTAAAATTTTATTAAGTTATATCTTATAAGTGTAGTGTTGAAATTTTATTTTGTATTTTGAAACACATTATACGCACGTTGTACTTTATTACCTTGTATAGTTGTATTATACCTTATTAGTCATTACCTTGAATGTAAAAAATTGAATAAATGCAATTAAGATGTAATTTTCCTGTACAATTTATAAAAGAAAAGGCTACAATTGTAAATATCAATAGAGGCAGGGGTATCTCTCAGTCGGGCTGCATATATCAACGTCATCTTCTTTTATTTGTTGACTTACTTTTTGTTGGCCGTTTCAAAAATATCTCTGAAGACTGTTTGGGTTAGGTTTCGAAGCTCGATTCACAGCTTTCAATCGCCGCTCTTACAGGTAAGAACAAACTATTAGAGGACTTTATATCCTTGTAACTGAGATTTTCTCTTGAAATTTCTTCTTTTGTGTTTGGTTCTTGGTGAAATTACGAGAGAAAGTTGAAAAATCTGCTGATTTGGAGATTTAGCTTTTATTTTCTCTTCTTTATCGAGCTTTTGTGTAACTAAGCGTCAGGTTTTGCACAGATCTGTGGTTTACTTTTTCTCTTACGATAGATCTGAGGTTTATTTTTTCTTTTACGATAGATCTGAATCTCATTATTTGTTTGACCAGATCTTGGTTAATTTTGATATGTTTTAGATCTGACTGTGATGTTATTGATATTTACTTTGATAACACATATTTGCAGAGGATTGTTTAATTCATAATTCATATTTTGTTTTCTTTTATTATATACAGAAATGCTTCAAAACCTGGGAATATTTGTACCTTTTTTTTTTCTTTTTTCTTTTTTTTTCGCTTTTTTACTCGTAAGTACATATTGAAAGCATGTACATAAAGGAGCTATGTCTTGATAGAATTTTATCTCATATGTAGACCCTCAGTTATACGTGTGGTTTTAAGCTGTGCTTATCGTGGAGAGTGGTAGAAAATAATGTGAAAGAATTTTCAATATTTTATAATGTTTAATGGGTTGAGCGTGAGGTTAGATAAAAAAGGAATTGAAAAACTGAACTACTTTCGTCTTCTTGGGTTGCAAAGGCTGCTAAGGATTTTCTCTTGATACATTGTTTATTACAAGTTCGTCCATGGCCATTTCGATTAAGGTTGTTATTCTGTTTTCCGTGAAGTGATTCTTATTAATTTTGTGGCTGTTGTAGTCTTACTTTTTTTCTTCGTTGAGCTATTGGAAATAAAATGTTGGTTAGTGATCAACAGATTCTTATTCCGTATTTGTTTTATGCTTTTAAAATTCTGGTAAGGCACATGTAAATGGTACAAAGATACAAATTTTGATGATGCCTATACAATTAGAATTGGATGTTTCTTGCTGTTTTCTTGTAAATGAAGTCCAAGATTTGGTAAAAGTTTTCGCTTTTTAGTGGCCTAATTGTGTTTATTTATTGGCATATGTTAAGAAAGCATTTAAAATTTATCATAAAGTCAATATGAGAATTGCTTTTTAGTAGACTGAATGCGATAATTGAATCTTCATAATACTTGCACAATTTGTTATTTGAAGTCCATGTTTGTTTTATATTATTTTTATCTCTCTTCACAAGTAGTGAATTTTTTTTCTTTTTGTGCCCAAGTATGATGAGGCCTATATTCTGTGGAAACTTTGAGTATGATGCGCGCCAATCTGATCTGGAACGACTTTTCAGAAGATATGGCAAAGTTGATAGAGTGGATATGAAGTCTGGTAAGTAGTCTCTTTATGTTCTTTTATTTACTATTGCATCCATTTAGTTGGTTTGTGTAATGGTTTTGATGGCAATTGTTGGCACTATGTAAAATTTGCTTCAAAATTTTATTCTTCAGTTAGATTTTTGATCAACTGGGCTCAGTCACTCCATACTTCTTTTATTGTAGATGCATAAATGAGTGTATAAATGATTGTTAGCGATTAACTTGAATTGCCTTAACTAACAACAGTCAATGTTCAGTTCCAGGAATTTTACATGATTGAATTTCTTTATAAATAGTAAGTTGAAATATTTATTTACTATCTTCATGTTAATGATTTAGTCTGGCATTTGAATTTAGTTTATCCTTCAAATTAAGAAATGAAGGAAGGGCAGAATGGTGTGAATTGGATGTTGTATGGAGTGGACTTTCGCTATTATTATGCATTCTATAGGCAGATGCTAATGAAATTAGTAGTTCATTTTCCACTTAGTGTGTTAGGTGAATTTGTTCATCGTACTGCAATTAAAATTACCTATATGCTTGTACTCTGTCATAGTATTCTGTATATGAAAGGATGTAGATAATTCGGTACCACACACAAAATAAAAAAGGCAGTTAAATCCAGCATTGACAAGGCACTTCAATCGGTCCAATTCACTGTCCATGAAGATGGCAGCTCCTCATGTTACGTGGTTGTCAGCAATACTTCAGAATACGTGACTCAGAAACAGCATCCATCCCTTGTTGAGTTCCAGTGGGGGTTTGAGGATATGTTTGAGAGAGAAAAACATCTTTTTTGAAACATAAACCCCCATTCTCAACATTTTCTTTGGCGCAGGATTTTCTTGGGATATCCATACTCCCGGCTAATGGATGCACTCTTCAGAATTCCATTTCCTGCCTGTGACGAGCTTCCTCTTCTTGTTCTCAGGAAGAGTCACTCTCATCTGCAATGGCACAACCATACCACATTTTTCTCATTGCCTTTTCATTCCTCATGACTTTTGCCCAGCCTTCAATTTCAGACATGTTTCAACGTAGAAACATTGCCGACCTCACAGCAGAGGCATCAGAATAGATGGAGAAGGCTCTCTATATTCATTGACCTACCATGAGACATCCACTTTTGGAATCTTGTTCCTTGACATCACTTAGTTCATCACACAAGGTCTGTTACTACTTTTGCTGGTCAGTTAGTTTATAGATTTCACGGAGGTTGCCAAATTTTTATTCTAAGGTAGGACTTAGGTGGTTTGTATGATGCTGAAAGGAGAAAATGCCATCTCATATTGAAGATTCCTTTTATGGGAGGATTCTTAACTTTTTCTTCAAGATGTATAAAAGTTATGACATTTATTCAACTTTTACACTGTTGCATTTAGGGTTTGCTTTTATTTATATGGAAGATGAGAGAGATGCAGAAGATGCCATTCGAGGGCTTGATCGGACTGAGTTTGGACGCAAGGGTCGCAGACTTCGTGTTGAATGGACAAAGGTACAACATTTTTTGTAGGTTGGATAAATGACTTTGTCATTCATCTTATTTCAACTTTTATTATGATTACTTAAACACCTTAGAAGAGCTCTTTCATTTCTTTGTTGTAGCAT